AAACGAGAGACAGAGTTACATACAGATGCCAGTTCACGTGGATATGGTGGAGCATTGTTACAGAGGCAAGACGATAAACAATTTCACCCAGTTGCATATTTTTCGAAAACTACAACAGAAGCGGAATCACGTTACCACAGTTTTGAATTGGAGACATTGGCCATTGTTAATGCACTGGAAAGATTTAGAACATTTTTGGACGGCATGCAATTTGTTATAGTGACTGATTGTAATTCATTGGTTATGGCATTGGAAAAGAAATTAATTAATCCTCGCATTGCACGTTGGACATTGGGACTGGCGAATTATAACTTTACAGTACGTCATCGGCCGGGTCATCAGATGGCACATGTTGATGCATTAAGTCGTGTGGGTCTGAATGTATGCAGCATCGTGGAGGGTGAAGTTGATTTGAATATACAGATAGCACAGACGCGCGATGAAAAAATCCAGCAGCTAAGACAGAAGTTAGAAACAGAAGAAGTAACGGGATATGAACTTGAAAACGGATTGGTCTTTCGTGTCAGTGGTGAAAATCAACAGTTGTACGTGCCACATGAAATGGAAACGAGCATAATTAGATCGATACATGAGAATTATGGTCATTTGGGTATTGACAAGTGCACGAACCAAATACAGAAACACTATTGGTTCCCACACATGCGCGAAAAGGTGAACAAATTTATCAGAAACTGTTTGAAGTGTATCTACTATTCAACTCCTGCGCGGAAAAACGAACGTAATATGTACAGTATACCAAAGAAGCCAGAGCCATTCGATACATTACATATTGATCATTTTGGTCCATTGGAAACGGTAAATTCGAAGCATAAGCATGTGTTGGTGGTGATCGACGCTTTCACTAAGTTTACCAAACTATATGCTGTCAACACTGGTACAAAAGAAACAATTTGTGCATTACGTAAATATTTTGCGGAATACAGTCGTCCAAAGAGAATTATTAATGATCGTGGAACGGGTCTTAAGTCAAAAGAGTTTGAGGAGTTTTTTCAAGAGAGAAACATAATACATATCAAGAATGCAGTTGCTTCACCGCAGTCCAATGGTCAGGTGGAAAGAGTTAACCGTGTTATGAAGGCAGTGTTGGCTAAAATAACCGACCCCATAAATCATACTGATTGGAAAAAGAAATTGTCAGATGTTGAGTTTGCTGTGAATAACACTGTGCATTGTACTACAAAACAGACGCCAAGTCGAATGTTGTTCGGTATTGAACAGCGTGGTGAAGTGGTTGATGAACTAACAGAGTATTTGCATGAAGTTTATGCCAGAGAGCAAAAAAGTTTAGATGATATAAGAGCAAAAGCAGAGGTCGCAATTCAGAAGTCTCAGTCGTACAACCAAAAGTATTTTGAAAAGCACCATAAACCAGCGAAAGAGTTTAATCCGGGAGATTTAGTTGTAATTAAGAATGTGGATACCACTGTTGGCAAGAATAAAAAATTAATTAAGAAATTTAAGGGTCCATACGTAATCCGAAAGCGTTTAGATAATGATAGATATGTTGTAACAGATGTTGAGAATTGTCAAGTAACGCAGATGCCATACAACAGTGTAATAGATTCAAGTAGAATTAAGATGTGGTTGGAACCAGAGTCAGAGTTTAATGAAACGGACACAGAAGGCAACACTTTAGAATTAGAAATAGAACCGTTAAGTAATGAATATGTAGATTATGAGTTTTTGGACACATAGAATTAACAATTTATTGTACAACAATCGTGGTCGATTGTTTTGTCAGAACGGCCGAGTTGTAATGTTATTTGGGATGTGACAGCTGAATATGAATGAGTGTGAGTGCGGTTGAGTATGAATGAGTGTGAGTGCGGTTTGTCAAACGTGTTGCCCGATGCATGCGGCGAGATGGTTGGCTGTGCGAATGTGTAAGTATGTGAAAGTGACACTTGTAGCTCAGCTGTCATATTGGAACATATGTCTCTTCCTATTCTGTTGTGAACACTCGAGCCGAACACATCGTTGTAAGAGTAAAATCAAATTGGAATAAAATTAATTCAAAATCATCCGTGTCAGTTTATAACTTATTACAAAAATATGAAATGTATTTTAATTTGGTGTTTTTGCTAAATTATTTCCATCGTCGAACGTACAACTGCCTGCACACTTCCAACACGGATCGCAATCATCATCATCTTTACATTCAACAAACTTCACTGCAAGACTCTTTGTAATATTATTTTTTGTGTAGCACCAATCTCCAAAATCTAAGCGTGGACCACAATTTGTCCAACATAAATTTTGTGCACATCCATAGTTGCTCTCTCTACAATCAGGCTTTCTACGAACCAATTTTTCATTATCGGTCATTGCATTATGTATTGCAGCATCCGCAACCGATGTAACGACGCCTGCTGCAGTCATTCCAACAGCATATCCACTTATTCTGCCAAATGTGCCCCATGGAATTGGTATGTCTCGAGATTTTCTCACTTGAATATTGTTATCGTTGGTGCTTTTTAATGGAGATGGATTTTTCACATCGCATGGAATACTTATTATTGATGTTAACACTTGGGCGAAGATTAAAATTGTTACAATTTTTTTTTTGGAATCCATTATGTTTTTTTTTTTTTTGTTGTACTGATCGATACTGTGAAGCGTTGTTAACTCTACTATTGATCAAAAACTAATGAAAAGAGCATGATGAAACTACCCCTACTCGATGTATGTTCTAGTGTAAACGATAGAATAAAAACTAACACACATGCACACGCACACTAATACGGTTTTGTTGTTGTTGTTGGTGTTGTTATAAATGAAGGCATCTTGCGATGTGAATTTAACTTTTTTTCCTCAGGAGCATCAAAATGTTCGCTTGTCTCTTCTACGTTTACGTTTCCCATTATTTTATTCAACATTGTTTCAGCATTATATCCATGTTTTTTGCTCCACTGCATAATATAATATGAAATGGCTGCTAAATCAAACTCTTTCATCAAAACTTTTTTATAGATTCGAAACGCACTTCTTTTGAGACGGTCTTTTATTGGTGTATTTTCATTCGTGTTATTATTTTGAGGAAAATGATAACTTGTTTTCACTTGCTTTTCAAAAGGTTTTGCTTGGATAAAAATTGTAATAAAGAAAGAAAAGATCAAAAGTCTAACCACAATATCATTTGCACTCATTTTTTCTATTAAATGGAATAAGAAATCTGATTAAAAAAAAAACAAAAACCAATTGTTCACACTCGATCAAAAATCATATATCTCTGTGTCTATATTTCCAAGCTTATTACTTATTGATTCACGTTCACCAATGCTATTTACTGTAGTAGTTGTTGTAATCCTAGTCGAAGCAGTCACAGCAAACGATGTATGATCAAGCGTCGTACTATTACTTGTTGCAGTGTTCGTAGGCAATAAACTAATATGTAATGTTGTTCTCTTAGTTGATGGAACAGTGGTTGTTCCAAGTTTGAATGTATGCACACGATTTGTTGTTGTCATTGTTTTTGTAGTTGTTCTACGAGTCGACCATTTCGTATTCATTTTGGGTGTTGTAGATGTTGTTGTTGACGCTCTCATGATTGCATTTGTATCCGTTTTGAATTTTCGACTATATGTGTATTTGTGTGTTATAGTTGCATTTGTAGGTGAAACACTATATGTTGAATTGTGTTTGGACGTTGTTGTTGATGCTATTGGTAGTAAAGGGACAGTAGTATTGATTCGATGTTTAAAAGGATAAAAATGTGTGTTTTTAGATGAGTCAGTCGAAGAGTTATATGATGAAATATATTTGGTTGATGCAGCTGTTGTTGTTGTTGTAGTTGCATTTGTAGGTGAAACACTATATGTCGAATTGTGTTTGGATGTTCTTGTTGTTGCTATTGGCAGCAAAGGGGCAGTAGTATTGATTCGTTGTTTAAAAGGATAAAAATGTGTGTTTTTAGATGCGTCAGTCGAAGAGTTATATGATGAAATATTTTTGGTTGATGCAGCTGCTGTTATTGTTGTTGATGCTTTTTGTAACGCATCAGGAATCGGATTCAATCTATGCTTATTTGTTGTAGTTTCAATAGATGGAAAAATGTTATTTTCAGTAGTCGTATTCGACGAATTTACATCCATCCATTCATTCGTTTCATTTAGATATGTTGTTAAATGTCATTTGTCCTCACCAAGCGGATTGTATCGTTCTGGAGCTGTTGTTGTGGTTGTTGTTGTAGTGGTAGTCTCTTCATCGTAGTCTTTTGCTTTTTCTTCACTTTCGTTTGAAAATACTGCATCAGCTATTTGTACGACACCATTAGCCCCTGCTGCTGCAATTGCTGCGTTCTTCAAATACTTTCCATACAAATTAAGTTTCTCCATGTTTGGCATAATACGTCTTCGCCATGTATTTTGAGGTGAACGCTGTATGCTAGGACTTAATCTTGCCAATGTTGACACTGCCTGTCTATGCAAACTAGACGTCTCTTGCATTATTGCTGGTGAATTGGCTGAATTTAGTGCTGGCGATGAAGCAGTTCGGTAAATATTGTTTGTCGATGAAGATGTCGATTGTAAATTTATTGAAGTCATAGAATTGCCTGGTGATGTAAAATGTGAAGGTACTTGTCGGTGTGTATTTAGTGTTTGCGATGATGAAGCTATTGGGTGAAAATTTCTTTCTCGTAAAAAAAAATTTCTTGGCGAAGGTCTTCGTAGTTTAAAAACTGCATCACTTGAATGAAACACAAAATATAGGACATATAGTCCAAAGATAATTCGTAGTTTGAATGATGACATCATGTCGATTACAATGCTAAATCGAAACTGAAATAAATTGCAATGTGTGTGAACGATGAACATAGATCGTTCGATTGTATTAAAATCTATTCAAAAAGGAGGGTGCGAACACGCACATATACACATGCGCAGAGAAATAATATACAGTTTTCATATTAAATGTGATAGAGTCGTTTTATTTGATATGGTCCATATTACAAAAAAAAATACATTTTATTTTACTTACACACAAAACAATAACTTCTCAAAACTAGATGGCGCTTCGTTTAGAATTTGTATTCATATGATCCTTCGTTTAGTTTCAAAAAAATTCGTTTAGTTAGCAAACAGACATAAATGTCAAATTGAATAAACGCCAGAATAAATACAAAATATCGTGTCTTCGTGTTGTTTAAATCTTTGAAAGAATGGATTGCAAATGTTTTATATGCAATGAACTTTTTCCAAATATTAATTCAACAGTTTCTCATTTAAAAAATGAACATAGCGTTAAAAATGGTCAAATTGTTCAATGCATCGCGAACAGACACAGTAAATGTGAAAAAAAATTCAAAACTTTGGATGGTTTAAAGAAACATGCCCACAAGTGCATAAATGCTGAGAAAATATATATCACAGGAGTAAATTAAAACTTAAAAAACCACTTTTATTGGATTATAATGATTTTGTTCTTCTAGAATTCAAAAACAATCGCTAACCAAGTACAAGAAAATGACATCAACATTTTACATTCAGCTGAAGAAACATGTGGCTCGAAAATAAGTGATTTGGCCTTCGCTTTCGAACATCGAATCAGTTTTTCTAATATTACTGAGAGTTCCACGGATAATTTTGCAATTCAGATAAATTCAAATAAAACTGCAACTCAACGATCCACGGAAGATGCGTTAATACACCTGAATGAATTTAGTCAGTCAATCATCACAATGAACTTAAATGAAAAAATAACATCTTCGATTTTCAAATTATCTCAAGATCTTGTTCATAATTTTGGTGAATTCAATCGTCAAATGTTACGTGATGACAACAAAATGAGTCCGGCACATGTAATTCAGTCAACAACCAATTTCTTTTGTGATGAACTTTCAAAACAGAACACAACGTACAAAAGAAATAAAATAATCAAGTCAGGCGAATTTTTTGTGGAGCCAAAAGAATGCGCAATTGGAACAAGATGGGAAAAAGTAAAAAAGTCAGTTGAAAATGGAGTTAAGATGACTGTGCCACAAGTTATCCAAAATGCTTATCAGTACATATCAATAGTCGAAACATGCCAATCACTTTTTAAATCTGAAGAAGTTAGAAAATGCTATTTTGAACAAAATACTACACAAGACCATAAATGTAAAGATGGCATATATAAACATTTTTGCTGTGGTTCGAAATACAAAAATAGCAGATTTTTTACAGAGAACCCACTAGCATTACAAATCCATCTATCGTGAAAATCCACACCTCAAAGAAATTTGGGTGTGTGTTATATCATTACTTCGAGTTTTGGAAATTGTTTTTTCATTCGAAATTTCGGAGCAGGTCCTTTTCATCCTCAACCGTGAGATAAAAACACATTTGGAAAATGTTAAGAGCCAGCTAAAAGTGCATTTAAGACCAAAACATCATTTTATGCTCCATTACGCAAGCGTTGTGCGAGTAATGGGACCCATAATACATATGTCAATGATGAGATTTGAAGCTGCACATCAAAAACTAAAAAAATTAGTGAGAGACAATATGAATTTTCGTAATATAAACAAAACATTAGCTTATAAACACCAAAAGGCAATGAGTATTATTGGACCGGCTTACAAAGATGATATTGAAATGGCAGTACCAAGAGCGACAACTAGGCTGTTCAACTCGGAGATAGAAGATTTATTAAAAATGAACAATTTATGTGGTGTTTTAATTATGGAGACTAATCGACTGGCTATCAATCAATACGAATATTTTGCGGATCTTTTATTCATTCATGACTCGTCACTTTTCCAAATTTTAAAGGTTTTATTACTTAATAATGAATATTTTTTACTCGGCAAAACATATGAAATTGTCAAGTTCGATAAGTTTCTCAATACACTGCAAGTAAAATCTAAAGAACCTTCAATTCGAATTTTAATCAACATTGCAAAACTTACAGTTGGAAAAACATTTGAGATTAAAAAAATAAAAAACACTGAATATATAGTTGGTGCTATATTAGATTTAAATCTAGAAACATTTTGGAAGTAAACTCGATCTTTGTAAAATGAATTCCTACACATTTTAAAATCCATCAAAAATCAATCTGAAAAAATCATTAAATCCACAAGTAATTAACTTTTCATAAGTTTTATTTTGTTTCCAGCACAAATTTATTATTTTTATTTGATTTATTATTAAAGATTTATTTTCAAATTATTGCATTCATTCATTTTGCACTTATATTTTGTTTGGCTCAAACCAAGTAAAAAGTTTAGTTAATGCATATTGTGCATTCGATATTAAAACGTTAAAAATGGATGATTGTATTTATTTAATGTTCGTCATTTAGAAGCCCATACAAAGTATCCATTGCTGACGATGGTTTGAATTTTTTCGCCTTTTTGCCATTTTCTTCTTTACCATCTTCTTCGATCTTATACGCATAGTATGCACAAAACTGAAAAAGTCGTTGAAGATTCGGATCACAATTCATTCGAAATATTTTGTGGACTTTGAAGAACAAATCAAATGTTTGTCCGATTGTAAAATCGATGGGAACCTGACATGAAGAAAATAAGAATATTCCAATTGAAATACATAGTTTAAATAGAGATTATTTTTCAATTACGTTTAAAATTTCACGTTCGATTTCGATGTAAAAATGTGTCAATTCTTTCTTCGAATTTCCAACAGCAATAATGTACGGGAACTTGTTTGCATCTTCGAACAACATATTCACGGCACAGTCATTCTATAAATGAGTTTATAAGCTAACCAAAACAATACAAATAAAAAAACAACTATACAATATTTACCTGACGGAAAACAATTAGCTTGTTCACAGCCTTTTTAAATGCTTCTACTGTCAGTAAATTGTCTTTGGTTATTTTAGCCGGTAACAATTTAAAAAATGTCAATAGCTGTGTAACTTCAGTTGACCAGTCTTTTGGAATATCTCGCCCGTAGTGTGACTTCAGAACATCGATTACTCGTCCAGAGTACAGGGACCACGCTTCGTCGAAAGCATTTTTGTTGATGTGAGAATAATGCAATGAGAATTCATATGAGATCTGGAAATAAAAACTATTGGTACCCTTTTGTACTTATCCGGCAAAAATCTCTTACCAATTCAGCTGAAACAAAAAAATACGGAAAATATTCACGTATATTGAGTCCGAGATGTTTTAGTAGTTTCATTCTATAAGAGTATGTCATCATCAACTTGGTTTTGATTTCAGAGATGCTTTCAGCGTTCACAATCATTGTTTTTAACAATTCAACCTCATTATTACTTTCTTCATCGTTTGATACATCATCTTGAAGTTGATCTTGAAGTTGATTTTGATGATCTTGTACATCTTTTTCCGCATGTCTTTTATTGCGCAAGCGAATTCCCAACTTTCCGCCATCTTTTGTATTTCTTATTGTGTCCTGAAAAAAGCAAAATCCATTAATTAATTGTGCGTATATTATGAGATGGAAACAAACAAACACGTACTAATTTGACTTTCGAAAATAAACCAACAATCGCCATAGCAATAGCATCTTGCTGAACAGCGGATGGTTTCGATCCGAAACGTCGTTGAGCGAAATTTCCGGCATGCCGAATCAATCTATTCTGTTCCGCATTGTTAAGCGATTCATCGACTTTTTCCAAACTTTCTGGCCAATACAACTTTAAGTATTCTTCCCATTCCTAAATAAAATATTGGTTAAATTTGTTTTAGAAAAATCACAATGAAAACAAACATACACGAATACCATTAAAACATACTTTAACCGTGACGACTGGTTTATCATCCAACATCTCTAGGAAGATTTTGATGTAAAATGAAGCCTGCTTCCCATAAAAGTTGAAAACGTCGACGAATTTGTTTGGTTGAATTGGAGCATCAACATTGTCAAATAATAAAAATGAAACACTTCCAGCCAGTCCAAATTCCTTGCAAACTGTTCCAATTAAATAAAAAGATCTTAGTGAACTGCGCACTGTGTGTGGTCTATGGCATTTCTTATACTACTTACCACGATCAAGAAATGATTCAACACTCAGTTCAGAAAAATAAATATATTTTGTTACATTATTGTAACGAGCCCGTAGAAAAAAATGTTCTTCAGCTCTGTTCATTTTGATCACACATTTTTTTTTAAACTATTAAAAAGTGAACATTTTGTTTCACTATACACTTTTCTTCAATTCATCTGACAGTTTGACGCGGTTTGACGTTTTTCATAATAAACCACTAAACTAAACGATATATTTCAAAACTAAACGAAGAATCGTATGGATACAAATTTTAAACGAAGCGCCATCTAGTTTTGAGAAGTAATTGTTTTGTGTGTATGCTATACAAATTCAATCGATAATTCGTAATTCTTTCAGCTCTTC